CTACCTACCTACCTACCTACCTACCTACCTACCTACCTACCTATCTACCTATCTACCTATCTACCTATCTACCTATCTGACATTTGCAATGGCAAAACTTTGAGAAAACAAGTTGATCACTAGATTATATATTAAAGGGAAGGAGAGCAAATCAGAGCCAGAATATAATGTGGTTTATTCCTTTCACACACGCACACTTATCTGCACTTACCACAAAGCTACTAGTTCAAGGCCAAACGACAAGTTCTTTATCACCTGTTGCAATGGCCAGCACAAGGGGCACAATTTTGCCTGCACAAATCCACGCCAACAAACCCAAAACGGGACAAAAACATTATCCGTACCAAAGATCCGGGTAGAAGGAAGCAGGAAGTGGGGGGGGGACATTCAGCAACCCCCTCAAGTCAGTCTCTGATTCCCCTTTGGCTGCCAAGCCCCCCTCGCTAACCTGGTGCCAGATGCTTCCCTAATAACGCCCATCACACTGAGGGCAGCGGGGAAGGTGGGATTTGTAGTCTACTCTGGCGACAGGTCCATCTGGAGAAACGGAGCGCGACCGCAGGGCAGCGGCGCGTTCAGCGGACTGTCAGGGGAGAACAAAGCCTTCCAAGGGCTTCCCTCCCCGCCCGATCCGCTGCACCCTTCCTCCCGCCCCAACCCCTCAGCCCGCGTCCCTTCGCTTACCACCCCCGGCGCCTCCAAGCCGAACCCCCCTCTGCGACCGTCGCTCAGTTGGCTTTCATGCTCTTTATTTCATGCGCGCTCCCTCGCTCTCTCTTTCGCTCTCTCTCCCCGGCCACCAGCGGCTGCACAGCCGGCGGAGTTGACGAACAAGTTTCCCAACTTTCCTCTCCTCCTCCTCCTCCTCGTTCTTGCGTTTCCTCGCGCAAGAGGTTCGCCTTCGCCGCCGCAGGAGAAACCCGGGAGGCGGGTAGAGGCGAAGCGAGCGCGGAGACAGGTCCAGGTTTTGGACACCCCGGGAGAAGGAAGGAAGGAAGGAAACACACAAGCACACCTACACGCGCGCACACCCCTCCCTCGACGTCCCTCCCCGGCACCTGTGACAAGCAAAAGCCCACCCCTTGCCAGGAACCGCCCACGTGACTCGCTCAGGTAGCGGGGTGGGCCGCCCCCTTGCCTCGCCTCGTCTCGCCGCGCCTCGCCCCGAGAGAGCAGCTCTGGCCTCTGAGAGGAGAGCGGCCGTGGGAGGCAGGCGCGCGCGCCGGGAGGAAGGAAGGAGGGAGGGGGTGGGCCGCGAGGGAACAGGTGCGAAAAAGCGCCACTGGCACGCGCCCGCACCTGGAAGGAAGGAAGGAAGGAGGGAGGGGGTGGGCCGCGAGGGAACAGGTGCGAAAAAGCGCCACTGGCACGCGCCCGCACCTGGCGAGCCGGCGGACTCTCGGGAGCGCGCTTGCGCGGTGGGGGGGGATTGGGGATGGGGGAGGGAGGAGAGGAAACCTATTAATTTGGGGCCGCTGAGGAGAATCTCAGGTGTGTCCTATTCTTTCTCCCGCGCGCTCTTCACGCGCCAGTAGCGACTTAACGGGATCCTAATGGGGAAGGGATTCAGTGGCTAAGATGCTGAGCTCGTCAGTCAGAAAGGTTGGCAGTTTGCCAGTTCGAATTCCTAGCGTCCTAACGGAGCGAGCTCTCAGCAGTTCGAAAGCATGTAAAAAATGCAAGTAGAAAAATAGGGACCGTCTTTGGTGGGAAGGTAACAGCCATGCCGGCCACATTACCACGAGGACATCTTCGGACAGCGCTGGCTGGCTCTTTGGTTTTGAAACAGATGAGCACGGCCCCCTAGAGGGGAACGACTAGTACATATGTGCGAGGAGGAACCTTTACCTTTTAATGGGGAAGGTGAGAAATGAAAGGACCGAAACTTTTTGCAAAATGTGGCAAAGTATTAACTGGGATGCCTAGAAGAATATAAGCCATTGTGCTGCTTTTTCCTCCTCTCTGTTCCTTTTTTTCTGATTTGGGATCCATTTGTGAAAACTGATGAATTGATTTTATCTACTTTCTCCACTCTGTCTTCTAAGGGTGAACCCTGCCTAAGGATGAACTAATGGGCTAATTTGAATGGCTGCTGCTGCTGTTATCTACGAGCCTAGTCTTTGTGGTTCAGAAAATACTGCCACAAAGTGTGGGAGTTGCTTATCCTGGCTTGATGAATAAATCAAACTACACGTCCTAAACCATGTAGTCAAGTAACCTGGCAAGTTCATTTGGGGCTTTAGAAAACTTTAGAAGATTGCTTCTCTTTCATCTCTTAAGGGAAGCAATCATACAAGCTGCTGCTTCCAGAAACAATGCAGGCAGCCCCTCTGCTTTTAAAGAGCAGTTTACCAAATAGTTTCCTTGTGCAAAAAATCTTCAACGAAACCAACAGACTGTAGAAACTTCTGCTTAATGGAAGCTTTAGGGTGAAGCACTTCAGGGAGTGAATTGTCTAGAAAGCATACTAAAAAGCAGAGACACCACCCTGCCAACAAAAGTGTGTCTAGTCAAGGCTATGGTTTTCCCAGTTGCGATGTATGGCTGTGAAAGTTGGACTATAAGAAAGGCTGAGTGCCAAAGAATTGAGGCCTTTGAACTCTGGTGCTGGAGAAGACACCTGCAAGCCCCTTGGACTGCAAGGCGATCCAACCGGTCAGTCCTAGAGGAGGGTTGAAGAGGAAACTCAAGTACTTTGGCCGCCTAATGAGAAGGAAGGACTCACTGGAGAAGAGCCTAATGCTGGGAAAGATTGAGGGCAAAAGAAGAAGGGGATGAAAGAGAATGAGGTGGCTGGATGGAGTCACCAAAGCAGTAGGCATGAGCTTAAATGGACTCCAGAGGATGGTAGAGGACAGGAAGGCCTGGAGGAACCTTGTCCATGGGGTTGCAATGGGTCAGACAAGACTTCACAACTGACAACAACAACTTCAGGGAGTAAGTTGTAGCCACTTTTCACATCCTACAGGTCAAAAGTGGACAAACCACGATACAGTTTGCCTTAGTACAATGTGAAGAAGTTAAGCTACTCAGGCAGAATAAATTCAGGTCAGTGGTTTTTCCAAACAATCATTTATTGTGTTATCTACACAAAATGGTTCATAATAATAATGTCATTGCTTGATCCTAATTCCACATTGATCTTCTCTCTCTGCTTGAAAAGTCTTCATTGCCGTAGATCTGGGAACTATCCCTTCACTTTCTTCTAGTTCTGAATAGAGATGGTGGGAGAGGAGAAAACCCAAGGCATGAATGAGCCTGATAGTGGATAACAAGTAGTCCTTGGCTTATGACCACAATTTGGACAAAAATTTCCATTGTTAAGCAAGGCAGTTAAGTGATTTGTGGCCAATTATATGATCTGTTTTACTATTATTAAGTGAATCACTACAGTTATTAAATGAATGATTTGGTCATTAAGCCAATCCAGCTTCCGCCCCTTGACCGTGTCAGAAGCCAGTCGGGAAAGTTACGAGTGATGATCACATGACCCTGGGATGCTGTAACCATTGTAAATTCATGCCAGTTGCCAAGTGCCTGAATTTTGAACACATGACCTTGGGGATGCTGCAACTTAGGACCAGTCATAGGTTACACTTTTTGTTGCAAGGTGAATAGTGGCTAAACAAATGGTTGTAAGTTGAGGAATACCAGTATTGTTTATAGTGGACCTGGAATATCACAGAATAACGGAGTTGGAAGAGACCTTGGAGGTCTTCTAGTCCAACCCTCTACTCAGGCAGAAAATCCCATATCAGTGATGGCAAATCTTTTTTGGCTCGTGTGCCAAAAGCGGGGGGAGCGCTGAAGCCTCCGGAGTGCAAAAAACCAACCCTGTGGGCAAACCGGAAGTCACGTCTGGTTTGTCCATAGGGCCGGTTTTAGCCCTCCGGAGCTTTCAGGGGCCGTCCAGAGGCTTCCCTGAAGGCTCCAGAGGACAAAAAACAGCCCTACGGACAAACCAGAAGTTCCGGTTTGCTTGTAGAGTCATTTTTTGCCCTCCAGAGCCTTCAGGGAAGCCTCCAGAAGGCTCCTGAAGGCTCCGGAGGGCTAAAGCCAGTCCTACAAGCAAACTGGTTTGTCCATAGGGCCGGTTTTAGCCCTCCGGAGCCTTCAAGGGCCTTCCGGAGACTTCCCTGAAGGCTCGGGAGGATGAAAAATTCAATTCCTGAACTTCTGATTTGCCCATAGGGCCTGGTTTTTGCGCTCCGGAAGCTTCAGGGAAGCTCTTGAAGCCTCCGGAGGGCCTCTGGGGGTGCGGGGAGGCTGTTTTCACCCTCCACAGGGTCCTATAAAGCCTCTGGAGCCTGGGGAGGGTGAAAAATGTCCTCAAAAAAAGGCTGAAGTCAGCTGGCCAGCATATACTTGCGCGCTGGCTAGCTGACAGGGCAGCGCTCATGTGCCCTGACAAATGGCTCCACATGCCACCTGTGGCATGCGTGCCATAGGTTCGCCATCTTGGTCCTATACCATTTTAAACAAATGGTTATCCAGTCTTTTCTTAAAAACCTCCAGTGATGGAGTACCCATAACTGCTGGAAGCAAATCCTTCCACTGATTAATTGTTCTAGGAACTAATTAGGAACCAATTTCTCCGTAGTTCTAGGTTGCTTTTTTCCTTGATTAGTTTCCATCCATTGTTTCTTGTCCTACCTTCAGGTGCTCTGGAGAATAGGTTGATGATCCCCTCTTCTTTCTGGCAGCCCCTTAGTTAACATAATTTGATATTGTAATTGTAACATATATATGTTAAACTTTTGGCAGTTTCACCAAGCTAACTTGGAACGAATCGTACATTGCATCCAAACTATCGAGGCTTTTATTTGAAATTCTTGAGGTGAATTTAAAATGTGAGTCAGCAATGGTATGCGTTGCAGACATAGAAAAACAAAGCAAAAGCAATATAAATCAAGTTCAGAAGCATGGCTACAAATACTCCCTGAAGTGTTTTGAAGAATTATAGTCTTTCCCTCACCTCCCATTCATCTGAGAAATGTTTATACATCTGTTGTCAGGACAAAAGGTGGGACCTGGTATTCATTCTAACGTTGACCGAGCCAGATGTGAGGCACAAACCTTTTCATCAAAGGCAGCTAGCAGACAGAAAGTCGTGGCAGTTTTAGTTTTGTTTTTATAGGGGATATAAGGTGAAGGAACATTGATGGCTGCCTTGCACAATTCAGGGTGTGCTGCACATAGATAAATATTTCCACATATATAAAACACTATTCTCCATGATGTGCTTAAAATGAACATTTTCACTTTGCAGAAAAAGAGATTTTGATTTAAAAAGCCCCCCTATATTTCCAAAATTTCTCAGATTAAGTAATATTAATGTTTAAAAAAACCACAACTTTCGAATCTTGCCAAATCTCCTGGGAACTATTATTATGTATGTAGACAAAACAGTAACGAGTTTTGATACACTGATCACCTAGTAATAGTTTTACCTGTTTGAATGCTGCAATCCATGCAAGAAAGTGACCCTTTGCATGGATTTTTAGAAAACCTGTTTGAAATATTTCAGCCATCTATCGAAACAATACTTTTTGTATTCCAGTTATAATTATAGGAGATAGCCTATATTCAAGATTGCACAGGTATTTCTAGGTTTAGATCAGAGGTGGGTTCCTACCGGTTCGGCCCGGTTAGGCTGAGTAAGTAGTAACTCAGCCTGCCATGCCCTGGTTCTCTTGGTGGCGCCATAGGCGCCGCTCTCTTCTTTTTTGCTTCTGCTCATGCACAGAAGCATTTTTTTTAGTACTGCACATGCCACATAGTGAACTGGCAGTAGCAATAGCAGTTAGACTTATATACCGCTTCATAGGGCTTTCAGCCCTCTCTAAGTAGTTTACAGAGTCAGCATACCGCCCCCACAGTCTGGGTCCTCATTTCACCCACCTTGGAAGGATGGAAGACTTGAGTCAACCTTGAGCCGGTGAGATTAGAACCACTGAACTGCAGATAACAGTCAGCTGAAGTGGCCTGCAGTACTG